GCACAGAATGCCCTAACCGACAACAGTCAGTACCAACGCAACGGCAGCTTCGACCTTCAAGCAGTCAAGTCGCCTCAACACAAGCAAATTCCACCACTCAAGTTCAAACGTCAACAACGTCGACGAGACAACCTGCACAAGGAACAAGGAACATCGTCAGCTGCATGGCAAGATTGACCGACTCCTGCATCACTGAATCGTCGCCGCACTACTCACCAGAAGAACAACTTGACGAAAGGACTCCACGTCGAGAAACACTGCAACCGAACCCAACGTACGCAGCTATCGCCCAAAGCGAACCATCTGGGAAAGATACCTAGTTCTTGGACAGTTGCTGCGGACAACACATGTGCTCTTCAGGACGCTTTGTTCAACGCGAACACAAACTTCAACGCGAGGTCGTCATCACCGTCGCCAACAATCAGAACCTGCGCACACGACGACAAGGCGTAGTGCAACTTCAGTCACGAGAGACAAACGTCATACTGCATATGTCAAAGGTTTTAATAGCAGAAGGGCTCGGTTACAACCTACTAAGCGTCAGTCAACTGATGGCGAAGGGCATACACCTCGAAGCAGATAGCACCACTCAGGAGTTCAAGTTATATAACGGGAAAGGCGGTCTCTACATCGGGAAGGCGGTCCTGAAAAACAACGTCTTCGTTCTCGACTTTGTCCCAGATCTTGGCACCGCTGACAGCGACGGGATTGTCACTTTCACCTCCTGGACACATCCACTGGACCTCGACCCCGACTTCAGACCAGAAGGCTTCTGGTACTCGCACACCATCCCTGAGACAGAACGAACAAGAGCATTAGCAACAATTCAACACTTGGCAGCAGCAAAAGCAACATCAACAGCAGCAGAGACAACATCGGCAGCAGCAGAAACAACGGTAGCAGCAGCAGCAACATCGACACCAATCGCTGGTCCTTCAACTGCATCGGCTCAAATCGACGACACTCCACCGACTCCTGCGCAGCAGCTTAACCCAACATCACGAGAAGTACATCGAAGCACAAACTTCATCGCAAGCTTCTACTCCAACTCTGACTTGTACCGTCGTTCACCCGGACATCGAGCTGGCGAAGACATCTGGCACGCACGAATGGGACATCCAAGTAACACAGTGTTAAACAACACAATCAGAGCAGGAGTACTCGACAAAGATTCACTGCTCCTAACCGATGGAAGCGAACTTCGACGAGCTCGTGGAACGTGCTTTACCTGCCCCGAAGCCGACTTACCACATCGGCCATTCGCTTCTCACCACAATCCCAGCGCACCAACTTACGCACCACTTGAGAAAGTGTACAGCGACATCCTGTACAATCGCGAACCTGGACAAGGAGCATACAGCTACACCATCACGTTCATCGATGCCGCTACGCGTTACGTTTGGCACCTTAACCTTCCGAGCAAGGACATGGCCTTCGAGGCCTTCGTCGCTTGGCTCCCAGTAACAGAACGAGAATCAGGCGTGAAACTAAAAAGCTTCCAGTCAGACGGAGGAGAATACACCTCACAGAGGTTCAAGCAGTACTTGGCAGAAAGAGGAATCAAGAGGCTCATCTCGCTTCCCTACGCCCATCAACAGCAAGGCGTGGCAGAACGGATGAATCGAACTCTCCAGAACACCATGCGCAAATTACTGCGTGGCATGCGACTGCCCAATCACCAATGGCCTGAGGCGATGGACCACGCTGTCATGCTGCACAACTTGCTTTCGTCGTCATCACTACCGAACAACGCATCACCGCACCTGCTGTGGACAGGAAAACAGGGCAGCACAAAAATGTTAAGAGTTTTCGGCTGCATGGTACAGTATCGCCCACACACTGCAAGAGCCGGAAGATTTTCTCAACGCGCACAGTGGGGACTACACCTGGGCATCGAAAGAAATTACAACGCGTGGAAGATTTTCAACGTCCACTCCAAAGAAACAGTAGTAGCACGTGATGTCATTTTCTACGAACGACTCACCCTTCCGACGTATCTTGCCAACCTGGAAGAAGATCGGGACCCCACAGGTGGCTTCCGTGGTGACCGAGCCTTCGCCTTGACAGCAGACGAAGCTGACTGGGACGAGCAGAACGTGGATGAAGCCTCGGAGGAAGCCGGACCTCTCCCTTACTGCTCCGTCGATGTCCCAATGGATGACGAAAATCCTCACGAAAGCGCCAACGCCGACGTATTTTACCACTTCGCCGACAATGGTTACGTTACACCCGCAGAAGTCAACACCAACGAAGCAGAATGCATAGGGCCCAACTTCATACCTGACCCAGAAACAGGTGACGAAGCAGCTTATCCCGCGGACACAACTCTTCCCCGCTACACACAGAGTGGCCTCCAGATACTCGGCCTCGTCACCCCGGTCCACGGCACGGAGATTCCTAAGGAGCCTGCCACAGTTCAGCAGGCTCTGGGGGGGGGGTATAGGGAAAAATGGCGTGAAGCCATGGACAAGGAACTGAAAGCACTGGAGGAACGCAATACCTGGAAAGTTGTCCCTATTGGCGTGGCACGAAACAAGACAGTACTCACCGGGAAGTGGGTCTTCCGTGTGAAGACAAAGGCAGACGGCACCATTGACAAGTTTAAGGCGCGCTGGGTCGTACGCGGCTTCGACCAAGAGCACGGACGTGACTTCACCGAGACATTCGCCCCGGTCAGCCGACACACCTCACTACGAATTCTCCTTGCGATCGCCGCCATGAAGAAAAATAAACTGCGGCAAATCGACGTCGCCAACGCATTCCTCTACGCACCTGTTGACGCCGAAATCTTCGTCGAACTCCCACACGGTTCCCACGGAGAACCTAACCAAGTCTGTCAGCTGCAAAAATCCCTGTACGGCATCAAACAAGCTCCAAGGCTGTGGCAGCAGTATCTGCACGCAAGACTTACTCGCATTGGATTCCGCCAACTACCTCACGACCAGGGCATGTATCGGCTCACAAAGGGCACCGACTACATCCTACTGATCGTCTACGTGGACGATTTACTCTACATCGGCTCGACCAACAATGTCACCACCTGGTTCGAAGGGGAATTACATAAGGACCTCACGCTCACAGTCTCGTCTACTGTCACGCAGTATCTCGGCCTCAACATCCAGGAAGAAGACGCGATTACCTCAACGCCACAAAATACGCCGACACCATCGCCAAACGCTTCTCACTCACGCCGACCACCATCTCTACGCCATACCGCCACACGGCAGGAAACAACAAGGAAGGATCCGCTCCACTAAAGCCCGCCGGCATACGCGACTACCAGAGAAAGCTGGGATGCCTCCTCTTCGCAGCTGTCACTTGCCGTCCGGACCTGTCGTACTCCGCAAGTCAGCTGGCGACCTACCTCAAGAAACCTGAAATAGAACACATGGCGGAACTCGACCGTGCTCTCCACTACCTCGTCAGCACTTCAACCGTCGGTCTAACCTACCACAAGAACGGGACTACGATACCTAAACTAATCGGCTACGTCGACGCCGATCACGCCGGCGACTCCGACAACAGACGCTCACGCACCGGCTACATCTATCGCTTCGAGCCTATCGGACCCATCTCCGGGCAGTCGAGCAAACAGGAATTAATCGCTCTCTCCTCAGCTGAAGCTGAATATATCGCACTCTGCTCAGCCACCAAGGAAGGACTGTACCTTCGCGAACTTCTGGAGGAGGCGAAGCTGGCTCAGTTACCCAGCTTCTCCTTGTTCTGCGACAACCAGTCGGCAATTCGCATAGCCAACAAAAACGGATTCGCGAACAGGACGAAGCATATCGCCCTGCGATATTTCTTCGTAAATGACGAGATCGAGAAGGGGAGACTTGAGCTGTCTTACTGTCCCACGTCCGAGATGGCAGCTGATTACTTGACCAAGAAGCTCGGGAAGCAGAAGTTCGAGTACTGCATGCTGCTGACTGGACAAAGCCACGTCACCAGCAGCGACACTCCATAAGCGAAGGGGAGTGTTGGAAACAATTGATTTAGCGCCTCTGTCGTGTCGAAACACCAAGTCAGAAGCGAAGCGAAACATATCGAAGCATTAGCGAGTCAACCCTCGGAGGTTGAACAACTGCTGGAGGTTACGCGAAAGTCAAAGGTCAGCGACCTTTGACCTGACAAATACAGCGCGACAGCAAGGACAAACAACTGACTCGCTATTGAGCAGTTGCCCGAGTCGTCACTGTATCGAACCGCAACAGCAACAGCAAAACGGTTATTAACTATATCTCTTCGTATTCCTTGTACTCTTATAAAAGCTTGTATCCCTTTGTTTAATCAATCTACTTTGCCCTCACATACTAGCGCAAGGTGGTTCACAAACTTCTCATTTAACGCTTCCGCTATTACCTGAATTGTCCTACTCTGAATTTAATCCTGCAAAGATCCTAAGGGCTTTCTCAGCCCAACAAGGGGTACATTCCCTTATTACAGCGAAACTCAACCGTACGACTCGAGACAGTTACGAACTGCCTAGGCAGAATCCTCGCCACTGCTGCTGCCAGATGCTGTCTGCCCGATGGTCCAGATCCTTTCGTAACTGTCTGACCCTTCGTGTTACTTCCGCCCTTTCGTCTTCAGCCTCGGTAGTGCGTGCTTCGCTTGCTGCGGTAAGGAGTGCACAGTAATGCTTCGTCTTTTACTATTCGTAACAAGTCATACTGTGGTCAATCGTGACCCCCATGCCCTGAATTTGACAGCATGCATTCACCTCACCACCATATACATACCATCTGCACCTCGCCATCTGCACCGTGCGTTACAAACACAGCAGCACCCGTCTGCACCACAACAAACCAACTCTGCGCCGCACATTACCAAGCTGGTGGGCTACCAGGAGATAAGCTTCGCATCAGCAGCCACGATCTTGACTCGATCCACCATCTGCAGACTGCACCTCGCCGTCCAACCCATGTGCCACAAACACAGCAGCACCCGTCCGCACCGCACCGCAACCACTCTCCGCCGCACACATGGCAACTACCCTGCTATCTGGCGATGAGCTTGGAGTCAGCGGCCACGATCTTGACGCGGTCCACCATCTGCACCTCACCGTCTGTCTGAAACACCGCGTCCGTCAGAATGAACGTCCACAGGCTCTCACAGAACCGGTACGTGTGCAGGTGGCCCTGCCAGGTGGAGAGGGGTGTAGTGCGGTGGCATACCGTAGAAAAACAGAGGCAGGGGACGGGGAAGGGAAGCCTGTGAGAATGAACGTCCACAGGCTCTCACAGAACCGGTACGTGTGCAGGTGGCCCTGACGAGTGGTGGAGAGGGGAGTAGTGCGGTGACACACAGTACAAGAACACAAAATGAACGTTCACACGCTCTCACAGAACCGGTACGTGTGCACCTGGCCCTGCCAGGTGGAGAGGGGTGCAGTGCGGTGGTGTACAGTACAGAAACTGAGGGAAGGGATGGGGACGAGAAGCTTGTGAGAATTAACGTCTACAGGCTCTAGCAAAACCGGTACGTGTGCAAGTGGCCGGGTGGAGAGGGGTGTAGTGCGGTGGCACACAGTACAAGAACATGAAATGAGCGTCCATAGGCTCTCGCAGAACTGATACGCGTGCAAGTGACCTTGGCAGGCAGGCAGGGGCGGAGCGTGGCATGCAGTACAAGAGTAGAAGGGATGGTGGAAGGATGCTTGTGCGAATGTACAAACACACTTGCGCAGGTAGCTGTGTCAGCAGGCAGTCGAGACAGACCAATACAGGTGAACCCAACCGGGCCAAGTGGATTGAAAAGGGACAGCAACCAGTCAAGATAGACCAATCAATGGAATGAGCGGAGGGGAAATGGGAGGTGAGCGGATTGGGGGCGAGGGGATGGGAGGAGAGGGGATGGGAGGAGAGGGGGTGGGAGGAGAGGGGATGGGAGGAGAGAGGATGAGAGGAGCGAGGATGGGAGGAGAGGGGATGCGAGAAGAGGGGATGGGAGGAGAGGGGATGGGAGGAGAGGGGATGAGAGGAGAGGGGATGAGATGAGAGGAGAGGGGATGAGAGGAGAGGGGATGAGAGGAGAGGGGATGAGAGGAGAGGGGATGAGACAAGAGGGGATGAGAGGAGAGGGTCTGCGAGGCGAGGGGATGGGAGGCGAGGGGATGAGAGTTGAGCGAATGGAGGTTGAGTGGTTGACTCACCTTGAAGTTGGTTTTGGACTTGACTTTGGTTTCGAGAGCCTCCACAAGCGACTGGCGGGGTGTGGAGTGCGGTAGAGAAAAGTTTAGACATGCGGGAAGGGATGGAGGTTGGTACAGGTAAGGGAGGCGGCGATGGATGGATGAATAGACGAAGGGGCGATAGCAAACGGCGCAGGGGAAAACGGGCGAACTGAAGAACGGGCGAACGAATAATCGATTGGATGAACGGACGGACGACGGAATAGACGGGATGCAACCGCGGCCGCAGGCAAGCAGACGGAGCAACACTCAGCTTGAAACGGTCACCACGGGCGCCACGGTGCCGCTCCCTCGGACGCCTTTTAAGGCGCCACGGTGCCGCTCCCTCGGACACCTTTTAAGGCGCCACGGTGCCGCTCCCTCGGACGCCTTTTAAGGCGCCTCAAAAGGCGCCATGGTGCCGCAGCTGCCTCACACGCTGCGACCAATCGCGCCTTCCAGTCCGTGGCCATTCGGGCCCCCACTGCCCTCACCTTATCGAACTGCAGTATAACGCGGACGGCGAGGTCGGGCGTGATGGTACCGTTGGACACGAGCTCGTCGAGCGCGTCCGTCAGGCACTTGCCCAGCGTCGACTTGCGGTAGTAGTCCATGCTCGCCATGCTGCCGGCCGCCTGCGATCTTGCCGGCTACCCGGCTACGACTATCGGCTAACCGGCTACGCTTACCGGCTACCCGGCTTGATTTGAAACGCCTCGGATCGCCGACTTATCTCGATGAATTACCCCTAACGATGTTGGCAAGGATGGCAATAGTTTGCGACCGTGTCGCTTAGCGTTCGCAAGCATGCGAATGGCCTGTAACATTAACGTTAAGCAAAACTCTTGCAAAAGTTCGCGGATAGTCTGCGACCTAATTCCTAGATGCTTCTCTGTCAGCAGTGCAGGGGAAGAAGGACGCCTCAAGCTTCTTCTGACCTTTTCTAAGTTGCCTTCTCAAATATATTTACCTTCACGCATCCCTCCCCTTCCCTTCCATCTCTCATCCCATCCTTCACTCGATTTGTGTCGGCCACGCGAACATGGCGAATCCGAAGTGCAAAACTAAGCATTAGCGAAATTCATGCGGGGTAACGATCAGCTTTAGATTCACTTCAGAAACACAGAAAACTATAGAAAAGATGAACACATTTCCTTGCACGAACAGCAGCAGCTGGGGCAGGTTGGCTTTCATATATTTCGTGTCATCTATTTGGTTGGTGGTTGGTTTGTCATAAAATTCCTTTGCATTACCACAAGCACCAAAGGCACATCTACTCTTTGCCCTTCCTCTTCTTCCCGCCAACTGAATGCACATTTCTCATAGTGCTGCTGCCCCTCCTCCCAAACCGCCCAGCTCGGCTCTCCTCCTCTCCGTCCTCTCCACTCCCATCCCCATCTCCCACTCCTCCCCCCTTCTCTTCCTCATCCCTTCTCCCCCTACCTCCCCACTTCCCCCTCCCAGCCAATCTAGCCCCCAATCGCTCCTCCACTGCAGCGGCAGTCCGCGCAGCTGACTGTGCCACTCCGTCCCTCCACCCTCCTCCTCCCCCTCCTCCCCCTCCTCCCCTTCTACCCGCTCCCCCAGTGCCCCCAGCACCCATGGCTTGGCTGTGCGAGACAAAGCGAGCGCCCAGGCCCAGTCTGGGTGCAGGCACCAGGAATGGGGAGGGGATGGGGGAAGGGGTGGGGGGAGGGGATGGAGGAGCGGTGGGGAGAGGGGATGGGAGAGGGACAGGGAGCATGGCGCAGCAGAATGGGGTCAAGCGCAAGCTGGGCGTGGGAGTAGAGACGACAGTGGGAAGTGGGCATGGCCTGGGTGAGGGGCATGCACAGGGAGCGGGATGAGCAGAGAGAAACAAGAGCACGGAGCCAGCCCAGGGTTCTAGGCAGCCCTTGGGCCACAGGGGCACCCCTCTGAGGGCACCGCATGACTGCAATAATGCAGCGGATGTGGAAGATAAAGGTTCATGTCACACCATGTCACCAGGTCACCATGTCACCATGTCATGTCACACCACGTGGCACGTCACCACCATGTCACCACAAGAAGCTAAGGGGAACTGAAAAAATCCTATAGGAAGGGAAATTTGAAGGTCGGAAGGAAATTCGGCATCCCAGCAGCAACCTATATAAGGAGCTCAAACAGCCTAGTGGCCGACTGGCGCTGGGTGGACCACACACCAATGTTTTCTACTCCACATCACATGTGGACAGTGGGCTTGGTGGCATGGGTGGATGAAAACCCCACCAGCGTGCATACCTGGGTGGACGAGCCATAGCTTCCAAAGCATCCCCACCAGTCATCTCTGACTCTCTAAGAACATCCCCGTTATAAGATCCCCCTCTTCCAACATCAATTGCTGCGTCTGCAGCCTCGCCCCCCTCACCCCTGTGAGTTGCCATATGTGCCAGCATGCGGTGGGCCTGGCATGGGTGACAAGGCGGGGCAAGGTAATCATCGGAAAGCAAGGAATGACAAGGGGGAAAACGTAGGCTGAATGGAGTGGGTGTGCTTCTTTCACTCCACTGTAGGCGCACACGGGCCTGCATCTCTTGCCGACATCTCTTGCCGGCACAGCTACACCTCGCCTCACACGAGGTGCGGACAGCACACAAAAGACGGGGAGGGAAGGTGAGGGATGCGACGGGAAGGGATAGGAAGGGAATGGTAGGGAAGAAAAAAAAAAGGAAACGGGGGGACGAACGGGGATGGGAAGAGAAGGGAAGTGAAGGGAAAGGAAAAAAAGAGAAGGGGCGGGAACAGAAGGAAAGGGAAGAAACGGGAAGGGACGGGACGTGAAGGTCAGCGGAAGGCGTGCATTGCGCAGAGAGAAGGCGGCGAAGAGGTGAGCGAGACAGCCGAAGAACGGAGGAAGAGGGATGGAAAGCTTTTGAAAACAGGGGGGGGGAACAGTTTTGCTGTGAGACGGCTTGAATCTGCATGGGTTGAGCACACAGCTGCTGCGTGGATATCATAGGACCCCATGCAGAGGATACCAGAGGACTGCGTGGCGTGGAGATGGTGTGTAAGTGAAGGATACTGAGTGCGATGCAACCTGTAGTCTGTTCGAAATCCAACCCTCCTCCTCGATTACCTGATCCATAATCCCCTAACCCCTGAATCCTCACCTGACCCTCAAAACCTGAGGCCTGTTAACCATACAATCGCTTCAAGAGGTCCACGTCCGAAGCGCCTGGAGCCGGCTCGAGTCTAACCGTGTATCGTCATCCCCAGAACCATCAACTAACCGACCATCGCACCATGGAAAGAGCCTCGTTCGACAAAACCACTTTAGCTTGTCGTTCGCTTTCGCCCACCCCGCTTCCACTTCCGCTTCCGCTTCCGTCTGTCTTGCCTCCGCCGCTGCTCCCCCCGCCCGCGTCGTGTCTGCTGGCGGCGGAACCGCCAGCCCCTGCCGCCTGCGACGAGGAGAGCGCGCGGAGGCGCTTCAGCGGGACGAGGCGCTCCGCCATGGCGGCCAGGCGTAGCTGTGGCGTGGTGGATCAACGGATAACGAGAGTGATATCGTGACTCCCTATGGTCTGAACTCGTTACGGTACGGTTACATCAGAAATTTGTGTGTAAAGTTTTAGGCAGTATTGGGACGTTGAGGCACAAACTCTGGTGTTGAATCGGTTGTTTTCCATGCACCCCGTAAGTGGAGTGTTGTATTGTCCAAAACTGTCCGTTTCCGCGCAGCGTGTGAACTGCGGGTTACGACCCTTTTTTTCTGCTACAATTTAGATCCTAAACTGCCATAGTAGGCCCGTTTTTGTTGTGTTCGCGCGTTTGTTTCACAGGCAGGTTACGGGGATGGGAGTGCCACGCAGTTTCCCCACCTCCCAGCATTTGGCAAGGGTGGGGGGGAAGACGGTGGCGTTCGGCAGTTTCACGAGTGCATGTGAGATGTTAGCGCGCTCATGCGGTTGGCTCCTCGCTTTTTGGAAACAAGTAGGGTTACCGTTACCTAAATGTGGAATTTTTTTTATTCACGTACTTAAAAAACGAATCATGAATATATTTTGTGACACTAATGAGCTCGATTATTATGTCGCGTTTGTGGCACTAATTGGATACAGTATGAGAAATAAAATTTTATAATCATTGGACTAATTTGTTTTATTTTTTATGATACGTCATTTTATTAATTTGCACGGGTTTAATATAATGTAAATTTGGCAGTATTATTATTAATCAAAAGCAGTTGCATTATTCCTACCTACCCATCAGTTAGGCAGTCAAAAATGATTCCATTCCCCAGCGTAGGGTACCCCCTCTGGGAAGAAAAAGCTCTCCCAACCCTCAATGAGGATCCTTACTCCCATTTTTTGGCATGTGCCCTCTTCCAGCGATGTGCCCATTTCGAACCCAGGTTGCCCATCTGCCTTGAATCGAGCAGGCTCTCTCTCCAGAATTTCCTTCAGCCAAGAAACACAGACTGTAGTCTTTGCTGTCATACAGTTCTTGTTGTTGAGCTCCACGGTATCAAGAGCAGGAGCATTCTGACCCTTCCAGTGAGCCATGGGCCACTCCACCTGCAAGAACACAAGCCCAGGGAGTTAAAACAACGGACGTTAACAATGGCTACTGTCAGTGTGGAAATGAAGAACAAGGATGGTTGAACTATGAATGAAGTGAGTACATATAGGAAACCCTAATTGGGTTGTACCCCCTATGGGATACCCCACTATAGCCTACACAACAGCATAAGCTATATAATGTTCTGACACACCCCCATAGGCAAAGTGGGGGAGAACAAGGGGTCACAAGACCAGTCAAGCAAAGCAGAGCAAGCTCAGGGTGGATCACAAAGTCACCACACAGTCCGAGCACAACGACAAGGCCACAAGGCCAGTTCACATGCAGGAGTACACATATATATATAGAGCTAGACAAGCAAGAGCAGGTATATATATGTAACAGTACAAGCAAGGTCAAGAAGAGAGCAAGTGAGGCAAGACAGGTACAAGACCCAGCTGGGTGCAGAAGCGCTGATGGTCACAAGGCGCAAGTGCCTTGGTGAACACATCAGCAGTGTTGGCCTCAGAGGCCACGTAAGCAAGTCGCAACTGACCACGCTGCTGCAGCTCACGAGCAAGAAAGTAACGGAGAGCAATGTGCTTCGTTCTGTGCTCCAAGCGCTGCTCTCGACACAAGGCCAGCATGGCTTTGTTGTCTACGTACAGCACTGGAGGAGAACGAGGCGGCTCTCCAAGGTCAGTCAGCAGGTAGGTGAGCCAGCGAAGCTCCTGTGCAGCCATGGCCCCGGCGTAGATCTCAGCCTCACAACTGGAGCTGAGAACAGAGGACGAGCGAGTAGCCCGCCACGAGACAGAGCCGGAACCAAGACTGAAGGTGTAACCCTGCGACGACCGCTGTGTAGCCTGGTCGTCTGCCCAAGAAGCGTCCGCGTGCCCAGTGAGGACCACTGGACTCCGCCCTCCAAGCACTAGCCCCATGCCCGACGTACTGCACAAGTAGCGCAACACCCTCTTAGCTGCAGCCATGTGCTCTGGTCGGTGTCTCCCAGGAGCAACATAGCGTGCGAGAATGCTAAGAGGGTATGCAAGGTCAGGTCGTGTACAGGTCATCAGGTACATGAGGCAGCCAACAAGCTCTGGGTACGGGCCACTCGACTCTACGGACTCATCCGAAGGCAGAGCTGAGAGCGAGTGGCGAGTAGACAGAGGAGTGGCCTGAGGCGAGGAGTACGTGAAGCCGAAGCGCTGAAGGACCTGCTGCACCATGTGTGACTGAGTCAAGGTAATGGTGCGGCGTGCTCTGTCCCGAGTGATCTGCAAGCCAAGGTAGCTGCGCAGTTCACCCAGGTCTGTGCACGTGTGTCTCTTCTGCAGCTCGGACTTCACGTAGGCTAGTCCAGCAGTGTCAGCTGTGGCAAAGACCAAGTCGTCGACGTACACGAGGACGTAGAACGGCGGCAAAGAAGTGTCGGTGCGCAGAAACAACGACGGGTCAGCAGTAGAGGGAGCAAACCCAAGAGCCGCAAGCGTAGTCCTCAGTGTGTCGTGCCACTCACGCGGTGCCTGGCGGAGACCGTAGACTGGCCGTCGGAGGCTCCACTGGGTGCCAGGAGGAAAAGTCCCAGTGAAGCCAGGTGGACGGCGCAGCCAGATCTCCTCGTGCAGGCTACCCTGCAAGAAAGCAGTACTGAAGTCAAGAGAGTGGAGCTCATAGTCGCGCTGAGCGGCTATGTGTAGCAGCACCCGAAGAGTGGTCATCTTCGGGGTGGGAGAGAAGGTCTGAAAGTAGTCAACTCCCTGCCGCTGACTGAAGCCACGAGCGACGTACCGCGCCTTGAAGACAGGTGGAGAGCCCGGCGGCCGCTTCACCCTGAAGATCCACATGCCACTGACGATGTTCGCCCCAGGAGGGGGAACCGCGTCAACGTAGGTGCCTGTGGACTTCCAGGACGCCATCTCTGCATCCATAGCTGCCTGCCACTGAGAGGAGTAGGGACCCTCTACGGCCTCCGCGTAAGAGCGCGGAGTCGGGATGTCTAGTGCATCCGGGTCTCCCTCAGGGGCAAGTAGTACGGACGCGAGATGAGGTGAAGCAGCAGCCAGACACCGGAACTCCTCCTGCCTGTCCTCAAGGACGTCCGTGCCAAGAGCACACTCACCCCCGACGGACGGAGGACAGACAGACGCAGACTCAGCAACAAGACCGGCAGCGTAGTCTAGACGACAACGAGCAGCAAAGTCGACGAGCTCAGCAACAAGCGCAGACGCAGCAGTGGACTCAAAAGAGGGGTCAGTGACGACAGTAGCAAGGAGACGTGTGACAGCAGGACTGGCAGCACGAAGAGAGTCCGACTCCGGGTCAGGAAGAGCAGGAAGAGAGGACTCAGGAGGAGAAGGCAAAGGGGCACGCAGAGGAGCAGTGGACGGACGCAGAGACATCCGGTGCATGCCAGGGACAGGAGGAGGACGCTGACGCGAACCACGACCACTAGTGCGAGCAGCACGGACAGGCGACGCAGGGCGAGACGCAGGCTCACGACGCTCAGCAAGACCTCCAGTAGGACCAGTGTAGGGAGAAGGAGCGGGCAGTGGGGAGGCCGGCCGTAACTGTAACTGTGACAGGACAGGCTGTGGACACTCTAAGGGAGGAGGAGGACCAGTAGAAGGCGGGAGACCAAGAACCTGCTGAAGGAGCGGAACGAAGTACGGTCTAGGCCGCGCGGCGACTCCAGACACAGCAGGGACAGCACCAGTACCCCCAGCGGCAGCACCAGCGCCAGCAGCACCTCCAGCTCCAGGACCTCCAGCAGCACCAGTAGCACCCCCAGCAGGACCGCCTCCAGGACCGAAAGCAGTAGCCTCAGCGTCAACGCCCTCAGCAGCTCCAGCTCCAGTACCTCCGGGACCCGCGGCACCAGCACCCTCAGTAGCCGAAGAACCTCCAGCTCCAGCAGCACGCCTCCAGCGCCGGGCAAACCACTCGCGCAGCTCCTGTGGAGAGAGGGGCTCCCGCCGAGGCGAAGCACCCGGAGAACCGCCAGGTCCCGCACCGCCAGACGCCACAAGGGGAGGTCCAGTGGCCGCAGGCTCCGCAGCACCAGGCTCAGCACCTCCAGACGCAGCACCCCCTGGCTCAGCACCCCCAGTAGCAGCACCCCACGGCTCAGCACCCCCAGACTCCGCACCCCCAGGCTCAGTACCCCCCGTCGCAGCACCCCCAGGCTCAGCACTCCCAGACTCCGCACCCCAAGGCTCAGCACCCCCAGTCGCAGTACCCCCAGGCTCAGCACCCCCAGACTCAGCACCCCCAGGCTCAGCACCCGCAGCAGGACCAGAGTCACCAGCAACCTCGACCGGCTCGACTGCGTCTACCTGGGACACACCTGAAGGGGCAGGACCCTGAGGGGGTAGGGGGTCTACCGGGGGGGGACCTGGCACAAGGAAGTGCGGTGGCGGGGGGAGGGAAGGAGTGCGGTAGGGGAAGAGGCGGTAGAAGGGGACTGACTCGTCGAACGTGACGTCCTGGGAGGACAGAACACGACGAGAGGAGGGGTGGTAGAACTGCCACCCTGGAGCGTCAGGGGGGAAGCCGAGGAAGACACAGGGAGCAGCACGAGGGGACAGCTTGTCCGCAGACAAGTCGCGGACAAACGCCCGAGATCCCCAGACACGGAACGCAGACGCATCGCCGACCTTCCCCGTCCACAGCAGAGCTGGGGAGGTCTCCGGCCGGGAGACCCTGGGGTGAAGGTTGATCTGATGCGCCGCGTACCGAACCGCAAACGGCCACAGAAAATGGGGGGCAGCCGCATGCATCATGGACGTACGAGCGACGTCCATGACCATGCCAATGCGGCGCTCAGCAATCCCATTTTGCTGTGGAGAGTCCGGAAGCGTAAAGGTCTGGCGGATGCCTCGTGCACGACAGTAGGCTCGCAGAAGGCCAGAGGAGAACTCTCCGCCTCGGTCAGAGTGCAGACGCAGAACAGGAA